AGTGTTAGCCTAAACTCAATTACTCATATGTACGGTATGATGTATACTGAAGACATACATATAATTACGGATGACTGATATATGTCAGGTTTTAAATGCAATAATGAGGCTGTAAAGTGTTGCCCTCCACGACAAAGGGAGAAAACTTTGGTTTGTCCGATTGTTAATTGACGGACCGCCATATAGAAGGAATATTCCTGTGCGACGTAAAACTAAAACTCACTCACTCATTTTGACAGTCAACCCTCTTGGCGTTAGGTGCGTCAAGATCGGGTTAAATTTATCTTCAGCAAGCCATGCGACTAACGGGATCGGGTGATCAGACTCGCTGACTTGGTTGACACATGTCATTGGTTCCAAATTGCGCAGATCGATGCTCATGCTGTTGATCACTGGATTGTGTCTGGTCGGAACTCGACTATTTAGAGACCGACACCATATAGCTGGAACATTGCTACGTTAAACAAGAAACTTTGGCACGAAGCAGTAGTAGTGAGTGAGTAGTGTGAGTGAGTTTAGTTTTTACGCCTGCACCATATGGCGGCGGTCTGAAAATAATCGGATCTGGACCCAGACAATCCGGGGATCAACATCATGAACGGTAATCTACACACATGGGAACCGATGACATGTATGTCAACCCAGTCAGCCAGCCTGACCACCCGATCCCGTTAGTAGCCTCTTACGACAAGCATGGGTTGCTGAAGATCAATTCTTACCCGGACCTTCACGGGTCACAACTGATCAGAATTGAAGATCTACTTTTCAATGTGTACATGTACGGTCACTGAAAACCTTGTTTTAATCTGGAAGGTGCCTGGCGACTATGCATTCAGGAATAACCAAGCAAACAGTAATACAAGCATTGGTCGTCTGAAGTCAGCATATTACTAATACATCAGCTCTTTGAACACAAGATTATGCTTCAGGAAACAGGTAAGGATGAAAGGGAACACAACAGGTGTTACAGATACAACTTCTGATTTATCGTCCTATCCCCATTTCACTTCTCTGAATATTCATATGACATCTGCTTTCACCGAATATTTGAACCGAGTTGGGCGATAACTAAGTTTATAACGGTTAACCAATGACGGATGTAACCAACCGCCCTCTGTATATATTTTATTCTTAAGGCGTATAACGAGCTTGCATATATCGAACTAAAATTACTGGATGTTCGTAACCATAACCGTAGTATATACAGCATAGCATGTCTCGTGATAACCGTAGTATATACTGCATAAGCATGTTGTCATCGTTATAAGCCGTAAGTATATATACTGCATAGCATGTTCGTTATAACCGTAGTATATACTGCATAGCATGTTCGTTATAACCGTAGTATATATTGCATAGCATGTTCGTTAAAACCGTAGTATATAGTATGCATAGCATAACATGTCGTCATAACCGTAGTATATACTCGCATAGCATGTTCGTTATAACCGTAGTATATATTCCATAGCATGTTCGTTATAACTGTAGTATAGTAGTATACTGCATAGCATGTTCGTCATAACCGTAGTATATACTGCATAGCATGTTCGTTGTAACCGTAGTATATACTGCATAGCATGTTCGTCATAACCGTAGTATATACTGCATAGCATGTTCGCTATAACCGTAGTATAGTATATACTGCATAGCATGTACGTTATAACCGTAGTATCTATTCCATAGCATGTTCGCTATAACTGTAGTATACTAGTATACTGCATAGCATGTTCGTCATAACCGTAGTATATACTGCATAGCATGTTCGTTGTAACCGTAGTATATACTGCATAGCATGTTCGTTATAACCGTAGTATATACTGCATAGCATGTTCGTTATAACCGTAGTATACTAGTATACTGCATAGCATGTACGTTATAACCGTAGTATCTATTCCATAGCATGTTCGCTATAACCGTATACTAGTATACTGCATAGCATGTTCGTGATAACCGTAGTATATACTGCATAGCATGTTCGTTATTACTCGTAGTATATACTGCAAAGCATAATTGTCATAACCGTAGTATATACTGCATAGCATGTTCGTTATAACCGTAGTATATACTGCATAACATGTTCGTTATAACCGTAGTATATATTGCATAGCATGTTCGTCATAACCGTAGTATATATATTGCATAGCATGTTCGTGATAACCGTAGTATATACTGCATAGCATGTTCGTTATAACCGTAGTATATACTGCATAGCATGTTCGTGATAACCGTAGTATATGTTGGATAGCATGTTCGTTCATAACCGTAGTATATACTGCATAGCATGTTCGTTATAACCGTAGTATATATATGCATAGCATGTTCGTTATAACCGTAGTATATACTGCATAGCATGTTCGTTATAACCGTAGTATATACAGCATAGCATATTTCTCCAGCAGCCTCAAAGTATGCAGAATCTATTCAGTATCGGTACATGCGAGAACTGCATTCTATCTTGCATACGCTACGCTACGTTGAGCTACAAAGCTTTCGCACCATTTATTCACGCAGAGACGATCGAAGTAAAGAATAAATGCGACTTATTGTTTAGTGTGGTATTAATTTCGGATAAACAACATAAAAGAACATCACATAACTGGCTGTTGCTTTTGCATCATTAATGGCTAAGATTCCCTGATATCATTACAAATGTTTGGGATCATAACAACGGCTGTTCAGTTCCAGTTAATCATTGCTGGTGTGCGTGGGGCTGTCAGTCCCTGTCTATGTACGACTCTGGTCTCTGTATGAAAAAACACAGTTTCAATGTAAGTAATCCTCTTTCACATTGTTTTTCGTTACGGTTTTGTTAATAATGGTTGCCTGTTTTGTAATGCCTCTTTTGTTTTATGATAACAAACATTCGGATCGCGTTGTTATGGTAATTACAGTCACAATTTTCTGATAGTTTACCCAGACAGCCTGTGGCCTTGAACTGGAGACTACTTGTCTACTTAGCTCACAAAGCTCGATCTTTGGGGGTTCTGTTGGGTAGGCTAGTGGTTAAAGCGTTCGCTCGTAACGCAACACCCGTGAAGATCCGGGTAAGAATTGGTCTTGAGCAACCCAGGTTTGTCGCAAGAGGCGGCTAACCTGATCGGGTGGTCAGGCTCGCTGACTTGGTTGTCACATGTCACCGTATCCCAATTGCGTAGATCAATGCTCATGCTGTTGATTACTGGATTGACTTGTCGATTTTTCCAGACCGTCGCCATATAGCTGGCATATTGCTGAGTGCGGCGTTAAACAACAAACCGAAGACCTTGGTTCGATTCTCCAAATGGGTACAATATTTGAAGCCCTTTTCTTATGTCTCCGACGTGATATTGCTACAATATTGCTAAACCTAATCTCACTCACTCCATTATTGAGAGATCTTTATAGCAGAGCCAAATATTGCGGTGATAGACCAAATAGAGAAATTCCTATATAATAAGAGTGATTCTTACATGATAAAATTGGTACATTCACGGCTGGTCATGATCCATGGCTAATATTCTATAATGAATATATTGTTTCAGTGATAGATACGGTGTGTTTGCAATATCCAGTAAATTGCGTGACACACACACAGAGAGACACACACAGAAAGACCACACACACAAGACAGACACACACAGAGACAGACACACACACAGACACAAACACAGAGACACACACACAGAGACACATACACAGACACACACATACACACACATACACAGACACATACACAGACACAGAGAGACACACACAAAGACACACACAGACACACACATACACAGACACACACACAGACACACATACACAGACACAGAGACACACAGAGACAGACACACACACAGACACACACACAGACACAGAGACAGACACACACAGAGACAAAGAGACACACACAGACAGACACACACACAGAGACACACAGAGACACAGACACACACACAGACACGGGCACACACAGACAGAGACACAGACACTCACTGACAGACACACAGACAGACACAGAAACAGACACAGACACACACAGAGACAAACAGACTCACACACACACAGACAGACACAGACAGACACAGAGAGACACAGACAGACACACACAGACAGACACACACATACACTCACACAGACACACACATACACACAGACACACAGGAGACACAGACACAGACACAGACACAGACAGACAAACACAGACACACACACATACAGACACAGACACAGACACACATACACAGACGACACAGAGGCAGACACACACAGAGACACACACAGACACACACACACAGAAACAGACAGCACACACACAGAGACAGACACACAGACACAGGCACACACAGACATAGACACAGAGACAAAGAGACACACAGACAGACACACAGAGACACACATATACACTCCACAGACACACACACAGACACTCACACAGAGACACACAGACACACAGAGACACATACACACAGACACACACAGAGACACACACATACACACATAGAGACACAGACACACACACACACACACACACATACACAGAGACACACACACACACACACACACACACACACACACACACACACACAAACACGAGAGATTAATTGTATAAAATAAACAACGCTGGTACAGGTTTGAACCCAAGCAGGAGATATTCGCCAAAACGCAACATGGATCCCATAACAGCACATCCATCCGTAAACTTCGTACGAATCGTGCACTTTTCAAAACGTGAAAACGTAATTTTGGGACATTTGGGTCCAAATGGTCCGAAAAAGCCACCATCATAAATGCATGTGTATACAAAGACGTACGCAAGCGCAACGCGACAGGACGATTGGTATGGCAAATATGGGGGCTTTTCCAAGAACCTTCAACTTCAGCCAGGCCACATCAGCAAATTGATAAACCGCTACCAGCAAACAGGCCAGACCCAAGACCGCCCAAGATCGGGAGGACCAAGAGTCACGACACCGTTCGAAGACCGCTACATCCGGCAGATCCACCTCTGGAACAGATGCGTGACGACGACAGCACTATTACACGCCATCAACGGACGAACAGTCCTTCGACGACTTGGTATTGCTGGTATAAGAGCCTACCGTCACTTCCGTGGAATGAACTTGACCCGTCTACACCGTCAACGCAAACTGCAATGGGTACGAACTGTGGCAGGTGGCAGTGACGTGACGGGGAGGCGTACCCTTTACAGATGAAAGTCGTTCAGAAACGAAGGCAGAGTTCGAGCTTTTCGACGTAGAGGATTGCGACTGGCGCCGTTCGTTGGAGGAGGCCTCGTGGTGTGAGGCGGAATTTGTGGCCAGAGAACAACGAGACGTGTTACCATCCGAGGAAATCTCAATGCTCAGCGATACAGGGATGAAGTGGCGAGGCCCGTTGTGGTGCTCTTTACTCGACAACAGCCAACACGAATAATTTGACAGCACTACAACTCAAGGCCTCACACCGCCAGAATTGTTCGAGAATACCTGCACAATATCAACGTCAACGTATTGCCTTGGCCAGCGCCTTCCCCAGATGTAACACCATTGAACATCTGTGAGATCAGCTGAGATGGCGTGTACCACCTCCAGTGAAACGACAGGACTTTTGGAACGGGATTTCTGCTGACGTCATCCGCCGACCGAAGACGTCAATTTATTACAAGCATAGTTTATTGCACACATCTACGTTTTACTTTGTCTTTATTTCTGTACTTGAGGCCAGAGTGCATACTAACGGAAAAAGTAACTGTGCATAACATAAAATTGGATAAACTAACTGTTATTTGGAAAGGTTTTAAAAACAACCCTAAATAAACATGTAACAGAGCCTTTTGCATGCCATTTGATGTCACGTATCTTTCGTGGCACGTGCACTTTGTCTTCAATGAACTTACTCACTTTTTGCCTTTTTTGTGACACCTGAGGTTCACACGCCTGATATTGGAATATTGAAGAACGGTCGATTATTCCCTAGCCTCTGAATGTTGTGGAAAACACGTTAATTTCAATCTAAACTGCGCGTACGTCATGCCACGGTTTACGAAAATCAGCGTCTCTGCACCGTGGGTATGCTGGAGATTGGAATGGCCCAAAATGAAGTGGCCAGGCATTTTGGTATCCATTGACCAATGATCTCATCTCTGTGGAGACGTTTTCAACATTATAAAAACACGAGAGATTTGCCTCGCACCGGCCGTTTACGCGTGAAGCCACGTCTGCAAGAAAACCGCATTCGGCTGACCCATCTAAGGAATCGATTCCAGACTGCTCGGACCATTCCTGGCTTACATCCAATCAGTTCCAGGACTGTACGGAACCGACTGAGGGAGCACAACATCCGAAAATACGTCTAACTGTGCTCTAACGTCACCGACAGGTACGTCCTTCCTTGGTGCAGGCAGCATCTACGGTACAGGAGACACGATTGGGATTGCAAATTGCCCGCGTTCTAACATCAAACTTGGAGACAACTGTACCGAATTTTGTCAACTAGTAAACAGGAAGCAAATGATGATTCTATAATATACAACTCAGGTTTTGACTTCAATGCCGAGTAACAATTATGTTGTTAAAGTTCAAGTTGTTACATTATAGGCTGTCAATGACCCTCAACCGTTAGAATTGATCTTCAGTATCCAATGCTTGTCGTAAGAGACAACTAACGGGATCGGGAGGTCAGGCTCGCTGACTGGGATGACATAACTCATCGTATCCCAACTGCGTAGATCGAGACTCATGCTTTTGATCACTTACTTGTCTGGTCCAGACTTGATTATCTACTGACAGCCGCCATATATACTAAGCATTAAAGAAACTGTGCATACAAAAATTTAAAAAGTAAATTTATCAAACCTGTGTAGACACATAAGGATTTAAACTCAGAGATTAGTGACATGACATGCATGCACGTGCCACGTTCCGTGACGTCAATGGGTTCGTCCTTGAGACGTGCAATACGTTGTTGCATGTGCATTCCGGGAAAGAGAAACAGAGCAAATGAATGCCACATAATACTGTCACTTTAGAAAGCTCAATTCCTGCCCTTGCGATCTTTCAAAAAATTAAACGGCTATTGAAACGCATTGCATGCCAAGGCTCACGTCTGCATAACGTCATGAGGCCATTGGGATGGTCCGTGGAGGAATGTCACAACGAGAAGTGGCTGCACATTTCCACTGCCACCGGAACACCATTTCTGCACTCGTAAGACGCTACCAGAACACAAATGACGTCATCGATCGGCCACGTTCTGGACGTCCACGTGTAACAGCGCCAAGATGGGACATATGGATAAGGGTGACCCATCTTCGCCACAGGTTTCAGACTGCAGTGATGACTGCCCGAACCATCCCAGGACTTCGCCGTATCCACCCCAACACAGTTCGACAACCTTTACGTCATCACGGGATCAGACCACGACGTCCCGCCATACGGCCTATCCTGACACAACGTCATCGACAAGCTGACGAATGTGGTGCCGAAATCATGTTCGCAGACCCTGTTTTAGTGGAGAAATGTTGTTTTTACAGATGAGTCCAGGTTTAACATTTCCCACAGTGATGGACGTCAACGTGCCTATAGACGCGTGGGAGAACGTTATGCACAGTCCTGTGTCTTGGAGAGGAATCACTTTGGTGGTGGTTCCGTGATGATTTGGAGTGGAATAACAGCACGCTAAAGAACTCCTTTGGTGATTTTTCAGGGCCGGTTAACTGGTGTCGGCTCCAGGGATGAGATTCTTCGACCTGTGGCAATTCCTTTTCTGCAACGTCATGGCCCTGGGTTAACATTCCAACAGGACAATGCCCGCCCTCAGCATGTTTGGGACGAGATGGATCGACGTCTACGCCGTCTTCCTCATCCGCCAGATAACGTCCTTGACCTTGCAACAGAACTTGAGAGAATCTGGCGTGACATCCCACAAGCTTTCCTTGCACGTTTGATAGGCTCTATGCGTCGTCGATGCACTGCTGTTCTCAATGCCGATGGTGGACATACCCGTTATTGAGCTTGTGACATGGTCGTTTGACCCCTGTCCCGCTTGTGGACTCGTGACGTCTTTGTGATTGACTTTTCAATTGAAATTCTCCCGACTTGTTATGGTCTCATGATCCCTCCATTAAAGTTTATATGTACCTTTGACATTGTTATCGTACTTATCAACTGGGATAATATTTTGACAATGCACAGTTTCTTTATGTGGCTAGTATAGATGGAATATAACTTGTGCGGAGTAAACAACAAATACACAAAACTCCTTGCATACTAGCTGCTTTCCCAAAGGGAGGATTGTGTTTTATGACGATCACATATCCCGTTGAGGCCAGTATCGACCTGGAAAGATATTAATATGTACATTCGCATTGCTATTGGCGTTACAGTTTATTAGCCAAGTGATCATGGCATGTAAATTTAATGAAGGATCATATGTCAATTGACGCAATCCGTGGGCAACCGTTAAGGGACCCCATGAGCATCTGTCTTGCTCTGAAAATAATTGTAAAGGAGAGAATACTATGTCATCCTGTTAATGCTTTCTCATTCATGGGCTGTTCCTTTTAATAGAGAGGTTGACATCCATACAATTACCTCCTCCATGTGATTCACTTTCAAATGCCCTAAAAAGGGTTCCCTGCCATCAGACTGGTCGCACACTTAACAGCGTCCGTCGGCGCACCTAACTCTGTCATACGTGAAGATCCCGGTTAGAATTGGTTTTCAATGACCCATGCTTGTCGTAAGTGGCGACTAACGGGATCGGTTGACTTGGTTGACACATGCGATCGTATCCGAATTGCGTAGACCAATGCTCATGTTGTTGATCACTGGATTGTCTGGTCCAGACTCAATTATTTACAGGCCGCAGCCATATAGCTGGAATATTGCGCTGAGAGAGGCGTTGAACAACATAGAAGCAAACATAAAAACTAAATTATGTATAGATTATTACTCATACATTTAAGTTGAAGCTGATCAAGTGAGTGAGTGAGGGAAGAGGGTTTTACGCCGCTTTTAGCAATATTCCAGCAATATGACGGCGGGGGACAGAAATGGGCTTGACACATTGTACCCATGTGGGGAATCGAACCCGGGTCTTCGGTGTGACGAGCGAACGCTTTAACCACCAGGCTACCCCTACGCCCTTCTTATCAAGTTTTAGCTAGAACCTTCTCATGGCGTGGTACTCACAAACTGTGTCTGTGTTGCTTCAGACGTCCAAACATGAAGTGCATGGTGTCGTTGTTGCTGACGGTGATGTACGTCGTGTGCTGCCAGCTCCAGGTAACGTCGGGGTCAGATGTGTTCCTCGTGAAGGCTGTGTCGTCACAGAGAGTGTGTGACCGGCTGTGCGTCTACACGTCACAGTGCGAGGGGTATCGTTGGGATGCTGCTAACAGAACTTGTCACCTTCTTTCAACACAACCTTCATCTACTGACTCCGGCTTCTCAAAACCTGAGGTAAATAGACTGTTTATAGGATATGCGACATATAACCAAAGGTACAATTTAGTGTGACAAACAAGAGAGTTAATAATGTGCAAATGAAATGTTATTACACATATAGAAAAGACACATATTCCAAGGTATTGTAACGATCAACAGTCCACAAGAACAGATTGGTTGGTTTGTTGTTTAACGCCGCACTCAGCAAGATTCCAGCTATATGGCGGCGGCCTGTAAATATTCCAGTGTGGACCAGACAATCCAGTGATCAGCATCATGAGCATCGAGCCTCGCAATTGGTCAGAACAGAGCAGAACACCACAAAACAGAAACCTGGCATATATACTCAGGGACGAAAATAAAGTGTCACATGAAAGCACAAGTGTTCCTTTATTATTTTTTTCCAAGGTTTCTTCACAAGCTTTGTATCGGATAGCTTGTGAAGAAACCTGAAAAAAGGAACACTTGTGTTTTCATGTGATCCCTTATGTTTTTTTCTCTCAGTGTATAAATGACGCCACAACGCAAGATCGTACTTAAATGTTCACAAGCAAGTTCACATTATCAGTAGCGAGTGTGTCCATGTTGCGCTTTGATGCTAGCCTGGCACCTTTGCCACATTGAAGCCATTAAACGTCGGGTAAAGTGCTGGCGAAGATTGTTCAGCAGGAATTTGGCGGAGTTCCTGCATCGTTGTTGGAGGATTCAGATGACGTCGTAAACTTGTCTCCATTTCATCCCAGACGTGTTCAATTATTGTTATATAATCAGGGGTTCTTGTTGTCCAGGGTAACATATTAACCAGTTTCTGCATCGTTGTTGGAGGATTCGGATGACGTCGTAAAACATCATCCCAGACGTGTTCAATGATTGTTATATACAGGGGTTCTTGTTGTCCAGGGTAACATATTAACATTACTCTGATTTAGATGCTGATGTACAATTCGAGCATCGCGTGGTTTGGCGTAACGCCAGTCTCCCCATTGTGTACATGTATGCTCATTATATACGTTGTAAGAGCGGCTAACGGGACCGGGTGGTTAGGCTCGCTGGCTTTGTTGACACACGTCTTCGTATCCCAATTGGGTAGATCGATACCCATGATGTAAATCAGTGGATTGTCTGGTCCAGACTCTGCTATTTATAATCCGCTGTTATAGAGCAGGTAACCTCGGGCAAATGACTTTGTTCGAAATATGTGAATGTAAATGCGGTACCCGAAAAGATGAGACGGTAAAGTGTATGTTAACCTTATTCAGCTTCGCTGGCAGATTTGGCTGTACCTTCCCCAGGGAGCTGAGAATGAAATGTCAAGTGTACACTGATCCATTGTCAAGGGCAATATTGCTACAGTGCGTCGAGCAAACACTGCATTTACATTTAGCCTTGCGCTTATAAGCGGACTTGTATTATATTTGCTTGTATGTAATGCATCCTCGATAATCTCCAGGGTATACGTTACTTCACTCTCCACTATACCCTGGATGCATCCACGGCTTGGTACGATGATTTTATTACCTCTATTGGTTGGCTTTTTATCCAATCAGGGGTCTACGCTGGGAAGTTGAGCGAACCAATCACAACTCACTTTCGCTTCTTAAATATTCTAACCGTTTAAACTTGGCAACACAATTGATGCAGAGGTACTCTGAAAGATGTAGAAGGAGTTCTTTTATATTTTTTTTTGAAAGTTTCAGATCTGTCAATTTGTCTGTATTATTTCCCAAAACATCTGAGTGGTACTGCGAACAAACCTTTACGACTGCGACCGCTATCTTTGTTGACACTGGCAAGCTCGAATGTAACGGCGGCTTAGCTGATTGGCTACTGTGAGAATGCGGAGCCAGCAAAGGGGCAGGGGGCAATATAATTATATAATTATCGGGCCAAGCGGTGGATACATCCAGGGTATAGTGGAGAGTGAAGTAACGTATACCCTGGAGATTATCGAGGATGGTATGTAATGATGTTCTTTTCGTTTCTAACAATGGTAACTGTCATATTAAATCGGAACCTCCTGACACATTATTGTGCTTTTTGACAATTTCGTTTATCCCTGTTCCTACCCTGTAGTGACAATTCTTGTTCATTATATTCATGTGTCCAAGGATCTGGTTTTGGGGGCACCAAGCTGGTGACTTCCTACTTGTCCAGCAGCTCGCAAACCGTTAATCCCTGGCATGGTTTGTTTAGTAGCAGGGACCGTCTCAAAGATATTTGCCAGTGATGCTCACTGAGCAGGTCCCTCTCATTAAGGTGATTCAGAACATAAAACACATGTCCAACATTTTACAGATATTTTATCTAATGTTTATTATCATTGCCCGCATGTGTCATTTATTTTGATGACATATTTGACAAATAACATTTTTACATATCGTACATATATTGCATATTTATTCATAATTACAAAATTACATACACTTGTAAATACATTTCATAGCCCGACAAGATGAGAAACATCATCTTGGTACGCAAACGTAGATTTTTCATTAGCAAAGAGTGGTCTCTTCTCTCTATCAAAGGCATGGTTGTATTGTATAGAGCTTGACATTTAAAATAAAGTTCACCAATTAGGATCAGGCAATCAAATTCCCGTGTTCCAATTTTATCAATGTTATCATTTTAGTTTAAATAAAGTTCACCAATAGATCCATCAATCCAGCACTAACTGAAAAGTGTTCACTCCAACAACATAATTAACTAAAATTATCTCTAAATGTTAGAGATGCACTCCTAATCCCCTTATTGTCTGACCAATGAGCACGCATGGGTGATTTTACACCTGAAACAATAGGTGCTGGACAAGTAGGAAGACCCCACCATCCACTCACAGTTCTACTTCTTGAAATCTTTTTACTGACACATGACAATCGTCGTATCACGAACTATGGCGACAGAACTCCAAGTGGATCCTGCAAGCAAGAGCCCGCTGATGACGGTTCCAATCCCTGATATGACCTGAATAATCTGAGAACTATTTTCTCAGATGTGGAAATGCAGCCATGAGATTATCAAGGGTGTCAGTGTTACAAACTTAGCTCCTCTGTGTTTACTGTTCTGTTCTGATGACGCACATGAGGAGTAGAGATAATTAACTGATAAGCAGAATTTTGATTTATGACGTCAAAGTGAGAGGACTAACATGCTAAGACCCAGTCCAACACAACGAGGTACTTGTAGGAGGGCCATAGCAGAATGGTGCGTCCAGAATTGACATTGACAACATTCTTTGTTCTAGCCTCACAATGGACAATGTGGACAGCGCCCGTGCGCCCCGACGGAGACGTGTGTTCCTGTTGAAGCAGCAACTAGATACATATGTCTGGAGACGACGTTGCCGACTTCATCTTCTGCTGCTCCATCTACGTCAACTACAACTTCTTTGCCTGCTGGGACAACAACCACCAAGACATCTCCAAGCATAACTACTACTTCCGTTCCGTCATCTACAACCACCACCAAAACTACCCCAAGTCCCACAACATTGACAACAAAGACTGCATCTCCCGCTACAACTGCTACTCCGTCAACGTCAACTACTTCAGTGCCTGCTGTGTCATCTGCAATCTCGTCGACAACTTTCACCTCAGCTACGACTCCCACCTCAACTACCACTGCTACAACTTTCAGCGTATCCCCGTCGACTGCCACAACTACTACAACCTCTGCAACAACCACCACGACTACGCCAACAACAATCAGTACCACCCCACCCACAACGTCGAGAACGACACCAGGTACTTTTTTATGTCTTTTCCTTTGCTTTGCTTTGCTTTGTTTTGATTTTTGCCAAATTGATCGAATGGCTTCATGAAGTCATCATTAGTGATCTAATTCTTTTTTTCATAACTGTGTGTCGGAAAGTGGTGTGGGTTTTGAATGGTCAGTGGGTCTTTTACAAAATATCTCTGAATGTCCTGATAACGGACAGGCAACGGTGAATATTGACTTGTTATAGGGTGTTTGGTTGGGTGGGCTTAGGTAGAGGAGATTTCGGGAAGTGTTCTTAAGTGGTCACCAAAATAGATTGTTTACTTTGTATCCTAAAAATACAATGCTTGGATAGAATTTTTAAAATAGTGAGTCAGTGAGAAACTTTAGCTTTACGCCGCTATTATCAATATTTCAGCAATATCACGGCGGGGGACACCAGAAGTGGGTTTCACACATTGTGCCCATATGGGGAATCGAACCAGGTCCTCGGTGTGCCGAGCGGGGGTCTAACCACTGGGCTACCCCACCGCCTCCTTAATGATCGAGTTTTGACGAAGCAGACAAATGGTTTCCAGTTCGAAGCCAGGGAGTCAATCTGTCTGAGTACACTATCAGAGAGTTCTGCAACTGTGATAACAACGCGATCCGAATGTTTCTTATCATAAAACAAATGAGCTGTTAAACATCAAGCAAGCACTGTAGCAACCCACTATGTAATAACAACGCACTATGTAATAAAATTCCGTTGTTATTACATAGTGGGTTGCTAATGGTGTAACGCAGTTCGTAATAACCCGATATGTAATAAAATCGCCTAAGTCCGAAATGTTTTTGGACTTAGAAAATTTTGTTACATAGTGCGTTGTTATTACATAGTGGGTTGCTACAAAGCACTATCTACAGAACCGCCCCATTTTCAAAAGACGACATTGTGTCTATCGACACTGAACAATAACATATTCAGTTTCTGACTAATCAAGATCGATGCTCATGCTGTTGATCACTGGATTGTCCGGTCCAGACTCGATTATTTAGAGACCGCCGCCATATAGTTGGAATATTGCTGAGTGCGGCGTAAAACTAAACTCACTCATATATAGGGGCTGCTGTGTGAACCAGTAGTGTCTAATGTTTGTCTTGTAGGTCCGGTATTTATAGGAACTGCTGTATGAACCTGTAATGTCTAAAGTTTGTCTTGTAGGTCCTGTATATAGGGTTGCTGTGTGAACCAGTAATGTCTAATGGTTATATTGTAGGTCCTCTATGTAGGGGCTGCTGTGTGAACCAGTAATGTCTAATGGTTATATTGTATGTCCTGTATATAGGGCTGCTGTGTGAACCAGTAATGTGTAATGTTTGTCTTGTAGGTCCTGTATTTAAGGGGTGCAGTATGAACCAGTAATGTGATATGTTTGTCTTGTAGGTCCTGTATATAGGGGGTGCAGTATGAACCAGTAATGTTTAATGTTTGTCTTGTAGGTCCTGTATATAGGGGCTGCTGTATGAACCAGTAATGTCTAATGTTTGTCTTGTAGGTCCTGTATATAGGGCTGCTGTATGAACCAGTAATGATTAATGTTTGTCTTGTAGGTCCTGTATATAGGGGCTGCTGTATGAACCAGTAATGTCTAATGTTTGTCTTGCAGGTCCTGTATATAGGGCTGCTGTATGGACCAGTAATGTTTAATGTTTTGTCTTGTAGGTCCTGTATATAGGGGGTGCAGTATGAACCAGTAATGTTTAATGTTTGTCTTGTAGGTCCTGTACATAGGGCTGCTGTGTGAACCAGTAATGTGTAATGGTTATATTGTAGGTCCTGTATGTAGGGGCTGCTGTGTGAACCAGTAATGTCTAATGGTTATATTGTATGTCCTGTATATAGGGCTGCTGTGTGAACCAGTAATGTGTAATGTTTGTCTTGTAGGTCCTGTATTTAAGGGGTGCAGTATGAACCAGTAATGTGATATGTTTGTCTTGTAGGTCCTGTATATAGGGGGTGCAGTATGAACCAGTAATGTTTAATGTTTGTCTTGTAGGTCCTGTATATAGGGGCTGCTGTATGAACCAGTAATGTCTAATGTTTGTCTTGTAGGTCCTGTATATAGGGCTGCTGTATGAACCAGTAATGATTAATGTTTGTCTTGTAGGTCCTGTATATAGGGGCTGCTGTATGAACCAGTAATGTCTAATGTTTGTCTTGCAGGTCCTGTATATAGGGCTGCTGTATGGACCAGTAATGTTTAATGTTTGTCTTGTAGGTCCTGTATATAGGGGGTGCAGTATGAACCAGTAATGTTTAATGTTTGTCTTGTAGGTCCTGTATATAGGGGATGTAGTGTGAACCAGTAATGTTTAATGTTTGTCTTGTAGGTCCTGTATATAGGGCTGCTGTATGAACCAGTAATGTGTAATGTTTGTCTTGTAGGTCATGTATATAGGTCTGCTGTGTGAACCATTAATATGTAATGGTTGTCTTGTAGGTCCTGTATGTACTGGGCTGATAAGTGAACATGTATTACGTTTACCATGTAGGTCCTCTATATAGAGGTTGATAAATTACGTTTACCATGTAGGCCCTGTATATAGAGGTTGATATATTACGTTTACAATGTAGTTTCTGTATATAGAGCTTTATGTATAACGTTTACCACGTAGGTCCTGTATATAGAGGTTGATGTATTACGTTTACCACGTAGGTCCTGTACATAGAGGTTGATGTATTACGTTTACCATATAGGTCCTGTATATAGAGGTTGATGTATCACGTTTACCATGTAGGTCCTGTATATAAAGTTTGATGTATTACGTTTACCATGTAGGTCCTGTACATAGAGGTTGATGTATTACGTTTACCATGTAGGTCCTGTATATAGAGGTTGATGTATTACGTTTACCATATAGGTCCTGTATATAGAGGTTGATGTATTACGTTTACCATATAAGTTCTGTATATAGAGGTTGATGTATTACGTTTACCACGTAGGTCCTGTATATAGAGATTGATTTATTACGTTTACCATATAGGTCCTGTATATAGAGGTTGATGTATTATGTTTACCACGTAGGTCCTGTATATAGAGGTTGATGTATTATGTGTACCACGTAGGTCCTGTATATAGAGGTTGATGTATTACGTTTACCATGTAGGTCCTGTATATAGAGGTTGATGTATTACGTTTACCATGTAGGTCCTGTATATAGAGGTTGATGTATTACGTTTACCACGTAGGTCCTGTATATAGAGGTTGATGTATTACATTTACTATGTAGGTCCTGTATATAGAGGTTGATGTATTACGTGTACCTTATAGGTCCTGTATATAGAGGTTGATGTATTACGTTTACCATAAAGGTCCTGTATATAGAGGTTGATGTATTACGTATAGCACGTATGTCCTGTATATAAAGGTTTATGTATTCCGTTGACCATGTAGGTCCTGTATATAGAGGTTGATGTATTAATTTACCATGTAGGTCCTGTATATAGAGGTTGATGTATTACCTTTACCACGTAGGTCCTGTATATAGAGGTTGATGTATTACGTTTACCATGTACGTCTTGTATATAGAGGTTAATGTATTAAGTTTACCATGTAGGTTCGGTATATAGAGCTTTATGTATAACGTTTACCACGTAGGTCCTGTATATAGAGGTTGATGTATTACGTTTACCATATAGGTCCTGTACATAGAGGTTGATGTATTACGTTTATCACGTAGGTCCTGTATATAGAGGTTAATGTATCACGTTTGCCATGTAGGTCCTGTATATAGAGGTTGATGTATTACGTTTACCATATAGGTCCTGTATATAGAGGTTGATGTATTACGTTTACCATATAGGTCCTGTATATAGAAGTTGATGTATTACATTTACGATGTAGGTCCTGTATATAGAGGTTGATGTATTATGTTTACCACGTAGGTCCTGTATATAGAGGTTGATTTATTATGTATACCACGTAGGTCCTGTATATAGAGGTTGATGTATTACGTTTACCACGTAGGTCCTGTATAAAGAGGTTAATGTATTACGTTTACCATGTAGGTCCCGTATAAAGTGGTTGATGTATTACGTTAACCATGTAGGTCCTGTATATAGAGGTTGATGTATTACGTTTACCACGTAGGTCCTGTATATAGAGGTTGATGTATTATGTTTACCACGTAGGTCCTGTATATAGAGGTTGATGTATTACGTGTACCACGTAGGTCCTGTATATAGAGATTGATGTATTACGTTTACCACGTAGGTCCTGTATATAGAGGTTTATGTATTACGTGTACCATGTAGGTTCTGTATCTAGAGGTTGATGTATTACGTTTACAATATAGGTTCTGTATATAGAGGTTGATGTATTACGTTTACCATGTATGTCCTGTATATAGAGGTTGATGCATTACGTTTACCACGTAGGTCCAGTATATAGAGGTTGATGTATTACGTTTACCATGTAGGTCCTGTATATAGAGGTTGATGTATTACGTTTACCATATAGGTCCTGTATATAGAGGTTGATGTATTACGTTTACCATATAGGTCCTGTATATAGAGGTTGATATATTTCGTTTACCATGTAGGCCCTGTATATAGAGGTTGATGTATTACGTTTACCATGTAGGTCCTGTATATAGAGGTTGGTGTATTACGTTTACCACGTAGGTCCTGTATAAAGAGGTTTAAGTATTCCGTTGACCATGTAGGTCCTGTATATAGAGGTTTATGTATTACGTTGACCATGTAGGTCCTGTATATAGAGGTTGATGTATTACGTTTACCATGTAGGTTTTGTATATGGAGGTAGATGTATTACGTTTACCATATAGGTCCTGTATATAGAGGTTGATGTATTACGTTTACCATGTAGGGTTTGTATATAGAGGTTGATGTATTACATTTACCACGTAGATCCTGTATATAGAGGTTGATGTATTACGTTTACCACGTAGGTCCTGTATATAGAGGTTGATGAATTACGTTTATCATGTAGGTCCTGTATATAGAGGTTGATGCATTACGTTTACCAGGTAGGTCCTGTTTATAGAGGTTGATGTATTACGTTTACCATGTAGGTCCTGTATATAGAGGTTGATGCATTACGTTTACCAGGTAGGTCCTGTTTATAGAGGTTGATGTATTACGTTTACCATGTAGGTCCTGTTTATAGAGGTTGATGTATTACGTTTACCATGTAGGTCCTGTATATAGAGGTTGATGCATTTCGTTTACCAGGTAGGTCCTGTTTATAGAGGTTGATGTATTACGTTTACCATGTAGGTCCTCATCAACTCTATACATATCAACTCTGCACTCGCCAGTAATATACCTCTATAAACATCATTTTATCTGAAAACTAATGATACCTCTGTGGGGATTTTAATAAGTGTTTCGTCAATTTCCATACTCGTTGATTCCAATTATATCTTGATCAGCCGTTCTCTTGACATGAACTATTCATATTATTCTCACAGTGTATGTCATGATCAAATGGACTTATTGTTTACTTCACCATACACACAACCACTACAATGAACAATATGTACAGGACACGGTAGTTTTAATTAGGTTTATCGATAAAGGCGTGAACATACTTGATTAGTAGTGTTTCTCTACGACCGCCAGCACAAATATAATTCCCGTAAAAACAGAAGTAGGAGCCGTGATGATGCTATGTACATATTTGATAAGCATTTACTTCATAACGTGGGCCCCCCTAGTCTATAGATCACCATCATTGGCCTACCTAAATCGATGGAAATAATTTATTTACATATTTTCAGAGGGGCAAAGCGTAATGCTGAGCCATACCGTTGTGTGCTACTTTGTAATATTATGGCAGCTCATACCCAAACCCGAAGGTCCATGGTGAAATATGGACTTGGAGGCTGGAGACGGGGTATAGTGATATAATGACAGATCATTGAAGGAGTAGGGACGTGTCCGACGTGTATGTGCATGTACGTGTCGTGCCGTATTTAATGTGTCTGTAGGGACAAATCTGTGTAGGGGCATGTTAGGTGTGTGTGTGTGTGCGTGTGTGCGCGCGTGTGTGTGTGTGTGTGTGTGTGTGTGTGTGTGTGTGTGCGTGCGCGAGTGTGTGTGCGCGCGTGCGTGTGTGTCGGAGCGTATATGACATGTGTGTGAATGTGTTTGTGAGTGTGTCTCAGGTGAGTATGTGTGATGTGTGTGAGTGAGTGTGTCTGACGTGTGTCTCTGACGTGTGTGTGGGCGTGTCTGACGTGGGTGAGTGTGTCTGATGTGTGTGAGCGCCCCTGACGTGTATGTGTGAGTGTGTCTGACGTGTGTATGTGAGTGTGTCTGACGTGTGTAAATGTGTCTGACGTGTTTATGTGACTGCTTCTGATGTATGTGTGAGTGCGTCTGACGTGGGTGAGTGTGTCTGATGTGTGTATGTGTCTGACGTGTGTATGTAAGTGTGTCTTAAATATGTCAGTGAGTGTGTCAGGCGTGTATATGTGAGAGTGCCTGACGTGTATACGTGAGTGTAACTGACGTGGGTAAGTGTGTCTGATGTGTGTGTGATTGTTTCTGACGTTAGGGTGTGTCTGACGTGTGTGTGTCTGACGTGTGTGTGTGTCTGATGTGTGTGAGTGTCTGACGTGTGTGTGTCTGATGTGTGTGTGTCTAACGTGTATGTGTCTAACGTGTGTGTGTGTCTGACGTGTATGTGTTAAACGTGTGTGTGTCTGACGTGTGTGTGTCTGACGTGTATGTGTCTAACGTGTGTGTGTCTGACATGTGTGTGTGTGTCTGACGTGTGTGTGTCTGACGTGTATGTGTCTAACGTGTGTGTGTCTGACGTGTGTGAGTCTGACGTGGGTGTGTCTGACGTGTGTGAGTGTGTCTGATGTGTGTGAGAGTGTTTCTGACTTGGGGGAGTGTCTGACGTGTGTGTGTCTGGCGTGTGTGCATCTGACGTGTGTGTGTCTGATGTGTGTGAGTGTCTGGCGTGTGTATGTGAGTGTGTCTGACGTGTGTGTGCGAGTGTGTCTCTCGTGTTAGTGAGTGTGTGTGGCGTGTGTGTATGTATGTGGTATGTAACGTGGGTGACGTGCGCTGGATCATGTTTGACGTCATCTACTACCATAACTTATACTACGGCTACAGCCACTACTGCTACGACCTCTACTAATACTGCCAATATTACAACTACTACCACGCCGATTTCTACCACAACCACCATCACAGCTAAAGCTAATAGCATAACCGCGCACGGTCTCCCTTCTACCTTTACTTCCGCTGCTACTACTACTATACCACGACGTCTACTACTACAATTGGTACTACTACCTCAGCAGTACTACCAACATATATTTACATAATATGCTACATTTACTCTCTAATTTACTCGCTTACCACATACGTGCTTTACATGGACGAATAAATGAATGTTGCAGTACACCGTTATTTTCGGCTTTCATCGAGGGGGCGGTGGGATAGCCTAGTGAGTAAAGCTTTCGCTCGTAACGTCGAAGGACCCGGGTTCGATTCCCCACATGGGCAAGATATGTGAATCCCATTTCTGGAAGCATAACCTTCCCAGTACTCCGTTTTGGATGTCCATCTCATGCATCTCATGTCCATCTCATTCCAGCATCCTGTGTCTCGGACTGCACTGGTCTGGGCGATGGGAAATACCAGTCGTGTGAACGGTGCAACGGCTACGTGGTATGCACTCATGGAAACACACACCACAGACCATGCGGCGCTGGTACACTGTGGAATGATAACAGGAAACTCTGCCTGTTTCCTCCGTCACCTACCTGTGTCCTGAATGAATAGAACGTTTAAACGCCGAGTTGTACAAAACGCAGTCAGGTTTTACTCCATGTACGCAACACCAATCTCGATTATCAGCTGAAATAGGTTCCACAGAGAGTAACAACCATCACTCAGACCCCTTGTGTTTTAGTAGTTAGAAGTGAGTGAGTTTAGTTTTACGCCGCACTCAGCAATATTCCAGCTATATGGCTGCGGTCTGGAAATAATCTCGTCTGGACCAGACAATCCAGTGCTAAACAGCATGAGCATCTATCTACGCAACTGGGATACGATGACATCTGTCAACCAAGTCAGCGAGCCTGGACACCCTATGACAAGCATGGGTTACTGAAGATCAATTCTAACCCGGACCTTCATGTCCAGAGACATGCCATTAATATTCTCTCTCTCACTCAGTATCGCCTTAGTCATTTGTCTTTCGATTGTTACTGGCTTTGCATCGTTATCGAATTATCTTCTTGTTTTACGCTGTAGTGAAGCGTTGGAAAAGTAGCTTTTGTCGACTTGAAGTCAGTAAAAGAGTTGATAAAATACCATTCAATCAGTGTTGCGCAATAGAGCTTTTTACTCCCGCTTCACTTGAATGTACACCCTGTGGCAATCACTCACTCAGCTACGTAAGTTAGCACAACACCTCATTATATTATTAGTGTAATATATTTATGTCATTAAAACTTATACACTCATTTATTGGCTTGTCATTTATCATACACTCGAAAGATTCGTCCCACCATTATTTCTTGTTCATGTACAATAGGGCTGTGTAGTAGCCAAGTGGTTAAAGCGTTGGGTCGTCACGCCGACGACCCTGGTTCGATTCCCCACGTGGGTACAATGTGTGAACCCCATTTCTAGTGTTTCAGTCGTTATTTTCCTGGAATATTGCTGAAAGCGGCGTAAAACTAAACTCACTCACTCTTGTACGTTTGTTCTGGTGTGTGCGTTATTGTTTGTTCGTTTTAGTTTATGCGTTCTTTCGTGTCTTTAAATGCATGTTTACGTTCTTGCGCTGAGTTTGTGTTCATGGATATGGGTTTTAGTAAGTGCGTGTTCGCGCTTGCTGTCTTTGCTATTTCCTGTACATGTGTTAGATCGTGTGTTTGAGTTCGTAGTCGTGCGTCTGTGTTCCTGAACGTGTGCGTGTTCGTGCATGTTTAGCTGCGTTCGTCCTCGTGCATGTGTTAGTGTTCGTGGGCTGTTCGGGGCGGCGGGTAGCCTTATGGTTAAAGCGTCCGCTCGTCCCGCTGAAGACCCGGGTTCGATTCCACACATGGGTACAATTAGTAAAGCCCATTTCGGGCTCACTAACTCACTCGTGCGCTCTTCTTTGTGCTATCAGAGGCAATTAGGGGTACAACATCTACATAACATACAAAGCTCATAGATATTATTGGGCGCATTCATGAATCGCACGACACGTCGCAAGGGTCAGATACGTATGGCCAAGCAGCCTAATTTTCAAAAAACAATGTTACATCATAAGCAAGTGTCCAAGGGCAATCTTCATGAAGGTCAGTTCTTTCTATTTTCTCCAAACTATAACCACTGACAGACAAAACAATAAAGTGATAAAGACAATCCCGTTTGACGGCGTCTGGTTAGTTTTTGGAATGTCTATCTTCATTATAATCATTAAGCACGATGAAATTGTTTTATTCTACCATGACTACGTGAAATACGCGAATTTGTTTCGACAATCAATAAAATTAGACACTATCAATCCTGGATTAACAATGAGTCTGATTTCATGACCGCTTCACTGCACACATATCCAACACTGCCGCACTACTTCAGCTTGACCACCAACATGGCTAATATCAACGCAACAGACGTGATGGAAATGTTTATAAAACATTTATTCATCTCCCAAAATACAATTATATGGTTTGTCCTCCACAATTATTAGGGAACCACACTATCAAATTACATTCTATTATCAAAATATTCAAACTCAATTACAATGCACAGCCCCAAATCAAACCAAACAATATCTAACTTATAAATCAGAAAGCAATGTAAAAATACATCCCTACCTATACAGAATTTGCAGCAAAACGTTAGTAAATATTTGCCTACCTGGTAAATGGTAATTCGCAACATAACGGCCAGGCGAAACACCATATTTATACCACTCATACTCCATCATGTCCTGTTGCATCGTTCCAAAAATACATGTCAGAAATTGAACGACCAGAATTCTGCTCTCTGTCAGCTTCACAGCAAGGGTGTCACTGTTGGTGATCTATGTTCGTACACTTTGAAAATATCTTGGCCACAATCCAGTCCCAACTGATGAATACAATTTCCAAGGAATCCCAAGTTAGTCGCATGTACACAAATCATTACGTTGGGCCAGCACTGTCACTCTTTCGTCGCATGCCGGGGTGGAGGCACGTACGTGAAATCACGATCGAAACTCGCCGGTCATAAAAATCAACAGTCTTTGACTAGTTTGATGAGTTACCACACTGATTTGTTGGTCGATCAGAAAAGGATCTATTCTTCGATTCTGCAGGGTTCAGATTCGACAGTCAGTGAAGTATTTTCTCCACTGTGACTTCAACTTTCACCCTTTCCCAAATGTAAACATTGGCTCGCCCGCCATTTCAAACTGTTGCGCAACAACTACTTCTATGAAAATAAGTAGGTCAGACGATTCCATTGCCAGGGGAGGGGTACAGTAACACGGCACACAAAACAATAGGTCGGGCATTCCATAGCACGTCAACCCCAAAGGCGAGCACGTGATTCACTGCACGTTACTTGTGAAGTAGACTTGCACAAGTATCTAAGGTCAAAATTAATAGTTTAAATGATAATCTCTAAAAAAAATAAACAACAGGCCGGGGTCCTTAGATGTACTGTGCGCCTATCTAGACTTGCCTCTTCGAAGGATAGAATTACTATACATCCATGGGCTCAGCATTCAGTACAGGCTACCCGTGAAGATCAGGTTTAGAATTGGTCGTCAGCCACCAATGCTTGTCGTAAGAGGCGACTAACAGGATCGGGTGGTCAGGCTCGTTCACTTAGTTGACACATATCATCGTATCCCAGTTGCGTCGATGCTCATGCTGTTGATCACTGGATTGTCTGGTCCAGACTCGATTATTTACAAACCGCAGCCATAGAGCTGGAATATTGCTGAGTGCGGCGTTAAACAACAAACAAACAAATCGCCCCACTTATTGTTAGGTTTCACGCTTTATGGCCACATTTTCAACATCTGCTGTCAAGACCAAGTTACTTCAGCACCTACGGAACCCATACAACGTTTACGCAACTGATTTCATTCTAATAAGTCATGCAGCATCAGGCATTTTAACAAGCATTGTGCTTTGGTCATAATTTATTCATTTTAATCAACACGGTAGACATGTGCACCCCACCTCAATTATTAGAGGGCCATGATATCGATTGCATTTGTGAACATCAGATATAACTGATGATAAAGACATCGAAACCATTGTTACGTTTCTGTTGTTGGCAACTGCCAGCAACGTCATTGTGTTATAAGCGTGAAGTTTCACCCTTTGGTTTCATTATCGGAGGAAAACGTGAACAAGATGAAACTGATAGTAAGTGTTGTTACCGTCTACAACGTTCTGACTCTGGGTTACTGTCAGGGAAATCTGTTGAGTCAAGCTGTTCTTACAAAGAAAACCTCAACGTCGCGAACGTTTGTCTGTACGTGTTCCGACGCTGCCAGCTGCACTGCAGACAAGTGGAAGGACCTTCTAGCAGCGTGTCGGCAGATGTTGGAGAACGTCGACCATCAGGTACTCTAAATGTAGAGTGGGTGTGGTTTAACGCCGCTTTTAGCAATATTCTAGCACTTTGGCGGCGGGTGACATATAACATGGTCTTCACACATTGTACTATGTGTGGGATCGAATTCGGGTCTCGGTGTGACGAGCGAGCGCTTTAACCGTGAGGCTACTCCACCACCTCCTGTAAATGACAATGTCATCTGTTCCCAAGTGCGCAAATGGATGCTCATGTTGGTGATAACTGGATTGTCTGGTCCAGACTCGATTATTCACAGACCGCCGCCATATAGCTGGAATATTGCTGAGTGCGGCGTACAACTAAACTCACTCACTCACTGTAAATGACAAGTGGTGTTTCGAGTGAATTCGTGGATAGCAACATGAATTTGTAAAGATTGTGTTTATCCGATATATCGTTAACTGATTACTGAAATTATTAGGGCTGCACGGTATTACCGGTATATCGGTAAACCGCAGTACGAAATTCTAACAATTACCTGTCGGGATACGTTTATGACGTAAAGGTATACCGCCAAATATTTATTTGTTCACTTTTAACCCATTCAACACCGCACATAAGACTTCCGCACGTATACTCCCTAAATTTTAATTTTGAGGAAAAAGATATATATGTATATTCAGGTAATATGGGTGGTGGATGGGGATATGGCTGAAGTCTTTCCAAATGATTGGCAACGGGTCCACTTAAACATTGTCAAAGAGGAAACTATGGACGTTTCGAGAAAATCATTAAAATTGAATAAACTAATGAATAAAATCAACAGTTTTCATAAAAGTTGTCAAACGTACATCTAAGTTACTATTTCCATCTTTTCGTGCGATCATGTTATGGAAGTCAAGTGACATCTCGGCTTTTGTCGCCTCGATCTTCATGCTCGGACACGATGTTTAATGAGAAAACATTTTGCATTTGCCGTTCCATAATTTACTTATATATGGCAAATTGTTGCTTATGACGTTCAGAATAGCATTATTGTACCCAAAACCTTGGTCTAAAAGTTTTCGTTTATGAGGATTGTATCCATTGCTGTAATATGATTGGCTTACGAGCATGAGTTTTACCAATCACGAACCTTATAGCAGACTGTGGCGAAAAAGCGTCATTACAAACCAATCTTTATCCAATAAAATCGCTTCTTACCGCTGCGAAAATACTCCTGGCAAGGTTACTGTGATAGTATTGATGATTAGAGCTTTAGAACAAGACCCGAGATCAAATGAATCTTCTAGAGTGTTGTTCATACGGAGCTTCGAAAACGGAGGCATTTCCCAATGTTGTGTCATGTTACCAGGTGATAAGCCACGGTTATCGGGAAATAGGCGACCATGCATATTATTTAATTAATCTTTATATAATAATTTTCTGATTACGTAAAATGAAATTATGTCACAAATTTTGCAGACCACGTCAGAAAACGCACAAGAGACAACCACGCCTGCAGAGGAGACAACGACTCCGACCACCACAGGTAATGAGTGTTTTCATGAAGCTCCTGCCCCTCTCCCCTGTAATCTAGACTCAGCACATTACGTATGTAATGCACCTAAGGTGAGACCACATGTTTTACATGTGCTTTGTTGTGGGCAGGACTGTGTGTGTATGTGTATGTGTGTGCGTGTGTGTCGGAGCGTATCTGACATGTGTGTGTGAATGTGTCTGACGTGTTTGTGAGTGTGTCTGACGTGAGTGTGAGTGTGTGTGATGTGTGTGAGTGAGTGTGTCTCACATGTGTGTCTGACGTGTGTGTGAGTTTGTCTGACGTGGGTGAGTGTGTCTGATGTGTGTGAGCGTGTCTGACGAGTATGTGTGAATGTGTCTGACGTGTGTATGTGAGTGTGTCTCACGTGTGTAAATGTGTCTGACGTGTTTATGTGACTGTGTCTGATGAATGTGTGAGTGTGTCAGACTTGGGTGAGTGTGTCTGATATGTGTATGTGTCTGACGTGTGTATGTGAGTGTGTCTTAAGTATGTCAGTGAGTGTGTCTGACGTGTATATGTGAGTGTGTCTGACGTGTATACGTGAATGTGTCTGATGTGTGTGTGAGCGTTTCTGACTTGTGTCTGACGTGTGTGTATCTGACGTGTGGGTGTCTGACGTGTTTGTTTGTGTGTGTCTGATGTGTGTGAGTGTCTGGCGTGTGTATGTGGGTGTCTCTGACGTGTGTGTGTGTGTGTGTCTCACGGTTAGTGAGTGTGTGTGGCGTGTGTGTATGTATGTAGTATGTAACGTGGCTGAAGTGCACTCGATCATGTTTGACGTCATCTACTACCATAACTTATACTACGGCTACAGCCACTACTGCTACCACCTGTACTAATACTGTCAATGTTACAACTACCACCACGCCGATTTCTACCACAACCACCATCACAGCTAATGCTAATGGCACAACCCCGCACGGTCTCTCTTCTACCTTTACTTCCGCTGCTACTACTACTAAACCACGACGTCTTCTACTACAATTAGTACTACTACCTCAGCAGTACTACCAACATATATTTACATAATATGCAACATTTACTCTCTAATTAATCGCCAACCACATACGTGCTTTACATGGACGAATAAATGAATGTTGCTGTACAACGTTATTTTCGGCTTTCATCGAGGGGGCGGTGGGATAGCCTAGTGAGTAAAGCTTTCGCTCGTAACGCCGAAGGACCCGGGTTCGATTCCCCACATGGGCAAGATGTGTGAATCCCATTTCTGGAAGCATAACCTTCCCAGTACTTCGTTTTGGATGTCCATCTCATGCATCTCATGTCCATCTCATTCCAGCATCCTGTGTCTCGGACTGCACTGGTCTGGGCAGTGGGAGATACCAGTCGTGTGAACGGTGCAACGGCTTCGTGGAATGCGCTTATGGATTCACATTCAACATCACATGCGGCCCTGATTTACTGTGGGATGATAACCGGAAAACCTGCTCGTATCCTTCGTCATCTACCTGTGTCCCGAATAAATAGAACTTTTAAACGCCGAGTGGAACACAACGCAGTCAGGTTTTACTCCATGTACGCAACACCAATCTCGATTATCAGCTGAAATAGGTTCCCTAGGGAGTAACAACCATCACTCAGACCCCTTGTGTTTTAGTAGTTAGAAGTGAGTGAGTTTAGTTTTACGCCGCACTCAGCAATATTCCAGCTATATGGCTGCGGTCTGGAAATAATCGCGTCTGGACCAAACAATCCAGTGCTAAACAGCATGAGCATCTATCTACGCAACTGGGATACGATGACATATGTCAACCAAGTCAGCGAGCCTGACCACCCGATGACAAGCATGGGTTACTGAAGATCAATTCTAACCCGGACCTTCATGTCCAGAGACATGCCATTAATATTCTCTCTCTCACTCAGTATCGCCTTAGTCATTTGTCTTTCGATTGTTACTGACTTTGCATCGTTATCGAATTATCTTCTTATTTTACACTGTAGTGAAGCGTCGGAAAAGTAGTTTTTGTCGACTTGATGTCAGAAAAAGAGTTTATAAAATACCATTCGCTCAGTGTTGCGCAGTAGGGGTATTTTACTCCTGCTTCACTTGATTGTACACCCTGTGGCAATCACTCACTCAGCTACGTAAGTTAGCACAACACCTAATTATATTATTAGTGTAATATATTTATGTCATTAAAACTTATACACTCATTTCTTGGCTTGTCATTTATCACACACTCGAAAGATACGTTCAACCATTATTTTCTTGTTCATGTACAATAGGGCGGTGTAGTAGCCAAGTGGTTAAAGCGTTGGGTCGTTGGTTCGATTCCCCACGTGGGTACAATGTGTGAACCCCATTTCTAGTGTTTCAGTCGTTATTTTCCTGGAATATTGCTGAAAGCGGCGTAAACTAAACTCACTCACTCTTGTACGTTTGTTCCGGTGTGTGCGTTATTGTTTGTTCGTTTTAGTTTATGCGTTCTTTCGTGGGTTTAAATTCATGTTTACGTTCGTGCGCTGAGTTTGTGTTCATGGATATGGGTTTTAGTAAGTACGTGTTCGTGCATGTTGTCTTTGCTATTTCCTGTACATGTGTTAGATCGTGTGTTTGAGTTCGTGGTCGTGCGTCTGTGTTCCTGAACGTGTGCGTGTTCGTGCATGTTTATTTGCGTTCGTCCTCGTGCATGTGTTAGTGTTCGTGGGCTGTTCGGGGCAGTGGGGTAGCCTTATGGTTAAAGCGTCCGCTCGTCCCGCTGAAGACCCGGGTACAATGTGTAAAGCCCATTTCTGGCTCACTCACTCACTCGTGCGCTCTTCTTTGTGCTATCAGAGGCAATTAGGGGTACAACATCTACATAACATACAAAGTTCATAAATATTATTGGGCGCATTCATTAATCGCACAACACGTCGCAAGGGTCAGATACGTATGGCCAAGCAGCCTAATTTTGAAAAGAAAATGTTACATCATAAGCAAGTGTCCAAGGGCCATCTTCATGAAGGTCAATTCTTTCTATTTTCTCCAATCTATAACCACTGACTAACGAAACAATTAAGTGATAAAGACAATCCCGTTTGACGGCGTCTGGTTAGTTTTTGGAATGTCTATCTCCATCATAATCATTAAGCACAATGAAATTGTTTTATTCTACCATGACTACGTGAAATACGCGAATTTGATTCGACAATCAATAAAATTAGACACTATCAATCCTGGATTGACAATGAGTTTGATTTCATGACCGCTTCACTGCACACGTATCCAACACTGCCGCACTACTTCAGCTTGACCACCAACACGGCTAATATCAACTCAACAGACGTGATGGAAATGTTTATTAAACATTTATTCAACTCCAAAAATAGAATTATATGGTTCGTCCTCCACAATTATTAGGGAACCTCACTATCACATTACATTCTATTATCAAAATATTCAAATCAATTACAATGCACAGCCCCAAACAAAACCGAACAATATCTAACTTATAAATCAGAAAGCCTTGTAAAAATACATCCCTATTTATACAAAATTTGCAGCAAAACGTTAGTAAATATTTGCCTACCTGGTAAATGGTATATAAATTCGCAAGATAACGGTCAGGCGAAACACCATATTTATACCACTCATACTCCATCATGTCCTGTTGCATCGTTCAAAAAATACATGTCAGAAATTGAACTACCACAATTCTGCTCTCTGTCAGCTTCCCAGCAAGGGTGTCACTGCTGGTGATCTATGTTCGTACACTTTGACAATATCTTGGCCACAATCCTGTCCCAACTGATGAATACAATTTCCAAGGAATCCCAAGTTAGTCGCATGTACACAAATCATTACGTTGGGCCAGCACTGTCACTCTTTCGTCGCATGCCGGGGTGGAGGCACGTACGTGAAATCACGATCGAAACTCGCCGGTCATAAAAAATCAACAGTCTTTGACTAGTGTGATGAGATACCACACTGATTTGTTGGTCAATCAGAAAAGGATCTAATCTTCGATTCTGCAGGGTTCAGATTCGACAGTCAGTGAAGTATTTTCTCCACTGTGACTTCAACTTTCACCCTTTCCCAAATGTAAACATTGGCTCGCCCCCATTTCAAACTGTTGCGCAACAACTACTTCTATGAAAATAAGTAGGTCAGACGATTCCATTGCCAGGGGAGGGGTACAGTAAGACGGCACACAAAACAATAGGTCGGGCATTCCAAAGCACGTCGACCCCAAAGGCGATCACGTGATTCGCTGCACGTTACTTGTGAAGTAGACTTGCACAAGTCTCTAAGGTCAAAATTAATAGTTTAAATGATAATCTTTAAATAACAAAAAAATAAACAACAGGCCGGCGTCCTTAGATGTACTGTCCGCCTATCTAGACTTGACTCTTCGAAGGATAAAATTACTATACATCCATGGGCTCAGCATTCAGTACAGCCTTGGAGCAAGGCTACCCGTGAAGATCAGGTTTAGAATTGGTCGTCATTCACCAATGCTTGTCGTAAGAGGCGACTAACAGGATCGGGTGGTCAGGCTCGTAGACTTGGTTGACACATATCATCGTATCCCAGTTGCGTCGATGCTCATGTTGGTGATAACTGGATTGTCTGGTCCAGACTCGATTATGTACAGACCGCCGCCATATAGCTGGAATATTGCTGAGTGCGGCGTAAAACTAAACTCACTTACTCACTGTAAATAACAAGTGGCGTTTCGCGTGAATTCGTTGATAGCAACATGAATTTGTAAGGATGGGGTTTATCCGATATATTGTTATCTGATTAATGAAATTATTAGGGCTGCATGGTATTACCGGTATATCGGTAAACCGCAGTACGAAATTCTAACAATTACGTATCGCGATACGTTTATGACGTACCGGTATACCGCCAAAGATTTATTTGTTCACTTTTAACCCATTCAACACCGCACATAAGACTTCCACCCGTATACTCCCTAAATTTTAATGGTGAGGAAAAAGACATATATGTATATTCAGGTACTATGGGTGGTGGATGGGGATTGGGCGGAAGTCTTTCCAAATGATTGGCAACGGGTCCACTTCAACATTGTCAAAGAGCAAAGTATGGACGTTTCGAGGAAATCATTAAAACTGAATAAACTAATGAATCAAATCAAAAGGTTTTCATAAAAGTTACTATTTCCATCTTTTCGTGCGATCATGTTATGTAAGTCAAGTTACATCTCGGCTTTCGTCACCTCGATCTTCATGCTCGGACACGATGTTTAATGAGAAAACATTTGCATTTGCCGTTGCCACCTAGCATGATACGTCCAATAAGTTCCATAATATACGTATGTATGGCGAATTGTTGCTTACGACGTTCAGAATAGCATTATTGTACCCAAAGTTTGGTCTAAAAGTTTTTGTTTATGAGGATGGTATCCATTGCTGTAATATGATTGGCTTACGAGCATGAGTTTTACCAATCACGAACCTTATAGCAGACTGTGGCGAAAAAGCGTCATTACAAACCAATCTTTATCCAATAAAATCGCTTCTTACCGCTGGGAAAATACCCCTGGCAAGGTTACTGTGACAGCATTCATGATTAGAGCTTTGGAACAAGACCTGAGATCAAATGAATCTTCTAGAGTGTTGTTCATACGGACTTTCGAAAACGGAGGCATTCCCATGTTACCGGGTGATAAGCCACGGTTATCGCGAAATAGGCGACCATGCATATTATTCAATTAATCTATATATAATAATTTTCTGATTACGTAAAAATGAAATTATGTAACAAATTTTGCAGACCACTTCAGAAAACGCACAAGAGACAACCACGCCTGAAGAGGAGACAACGACTCCGACCACCACAGGTAATTGGTGTTTTCATGAAGCTCTTGCCCCTCTTCCCTGTGATCTAGACACAGCACATAACGTATGTAATGCACCTAAGGTGAGACCACATGTTTCTCATGTGCTTCGTTGTGGGCAGGACAGTGTGTGTGTGTGTGTGTGTGTGTGTGTGTGTGTGTGTGTGTGTGTGTGTGTGTGTGTGTGTATGTGTAAGTGCGTGCGTGTGTGTCGGAGCGTATCGTGTGAATGTGTCTGACGTGTTTGTGAGTGTGTCTCACGTGAGTTTGAGAGTGTGTGAGTCATGCTGTCACACACGGTCAAACATCCAAGGTCTCTCCGCGCCCAACAAATTCACCTGATTTGTGACATAAGCTCCATGCACAGGACAACACATACATGTATGTGAGCCAGTACTGTTTGTCATGTAGGTCCTGTTTCCAGGGGCTGCTATGTGAGCCAGTAATGTTTGTCTGGTAGGACCTGTTTACAGGGGCAGCTATGTGAGCCAGTAATGTTTGTCATGTAGGTCCTGTTTACAGGGGCTGCTGTGTGAGCCAGAAATGTTTGACTGGTAGGTTCTGTTTACAGGGGCTGCTATGTGAGCCAGTAATGTTTGTCATGTTGGTCCTGTTTACAGGGGCTGCTATGTGAGCCAGTAATGTTTGTCATGTAGGTCCTGTTTACAGGTGCTGCTATGTGAGCCAGTAATGTTTGTCATGTAAGTCCTGTTTACAGGGCTGCTATGTGAGCCAGTAATGTTTGTCATGTAGGTCCTGTTTACAGGTGCTGCTATGTGAGCCGGTACTGTTTGTCTGGTAGGTCCTGTTCACAGGGGCTGCTATGTGAGCCAGTAATGTTTGTCATGTAGGTCCTGTTTACAGGGGCTGCTATGTGAGTCAGTAATGTTTGTCTGGTAGGTCCTGTTTACAGGGGCAGCTATGGGAGCCAGTAATGTTTGTCATGTAGGTCTTGTTTACAGGGGCTGCTCTGTGAGCCAGTAATGTTTGTCTGGTAGGTCCTGTTTACAAGGGCTGCTATGTGAGCCAGTAATGTTTGTCTGGTAGGTCCTGTTTACAGGGCTGCTATGTGAGTCAGTAATGTTTGTCTGGTAGGTCCTGTTTACAGGGGCAGCTATGGGAGCCAGTAATGTTTGTCATGTAGGTCTTGTTTACAGGGGCTGCTCTGTGAGCCAGTAATGTTTGTCATGTAGGTCCTGTTTACAGGTGCTGCTATGTGAGCCAGTAATGTTTGTCATGTAAGTCCTGTTTACAGGGCTGCTATGTGAGCCAGTAATGTTTGTCATGTAGGTCCTGTTTACAGGTGCTGCTATGTGAGCCGGTACTGTTTGTCATGTAGGTCCTGTTTACAGGGGCTGCTATGTGAGCCAATAATGTTTGTCTGGTAGGTCCTGTTTACAAGGGCTGCTATGTGAGGCAGTAATGTTTGTCTGGTAGGTCCTGTTTACAGGGGCTGCTATGTGAGCCAGTAATGTTTGTCATGTAGGTCCTGTTTACAGGGGCTGCTATGTGAGCCAGTAATGTTTGTCTGGTAGGTCCTGTTTACAAGGGCTGCTATGTGAGGCAGTAATGTTTGTCATGTAGGTCCTGTTTACAGGGGCTACTATGTGAGCCAGTAATGTTTGTCATGTAGGTCCTGTTTACAGGGGCTGCTATGTGAGCCAGTAATGTTTGTCTGGTAGGTCCTGTTTACAAGGGCTGCTATGTGAGGCAGTAATGTTTGTCATGTAGGTCCTGTTTACAGGGGCTGCTATGTGAGCCAGTAATGTTTGTCATGTAGGTCCTGTTTACAGGGGCTGCTATGTGAGCCAGTAATGTTTGTCTAGTAGGTCCTGTTTACAGGGCTGCTATGTGAGCCAGTAATGTTTGTCATGTAGGTCCTGTTTGCATGGGCTGCTATGTGAGCCAGTAATGTTTGTCTAGCAGGTCCTGTTTACAGGGGCTGCTATGTGAGCCAGTAATGTTTGTCTGGTAGGTCCTGTTTACAGGGGCTGCTATGTGAGCCAGTAATGTTTGTCTGGTAGGTCATGTTTACAGGGGCTGCTGTAAGCCAGTAATGTTTGTCTGGTAGGTCCTGTTTGCAGGGGCTGCTATGTGAGCCAGTAATGTTTGTCTGGTAGGTCCTGTTTACAGGGGCTGCTATGTGAGCCAGTAATGTTTGTCATGTAGGTCCTGTTTACAAGGGCTGCTATGTGAACCAGTAATGTCTAGTGCCTGTAGTCCTATAATATTGTGTGTTGTATAAACCAGTAATGTCTAATGTTTGTCATGTAGGTCATGTAAACTAACGCACAAAAGAAAGTACACACCTGGTGTTTTGGGATTATTTGAAAAGTGTTGTGATTTTGACTGTCAACTTTGCAATTGGGCACGATATCTGTGGTGTACAAACTCTTTAAACATTACGTCGCCTTTTGGAAAGTAAACCAAAAGCACAACGAATGTAGTTTTTTTTGTACGTCAGTTTATATGGGGGATGTTGTATGAACCAATAATGTCTAATGGTTGTCTTGTAGGTCCGGTATATAGGGGCTTCTGTGTGAACCAGTAATGTCTGATGGTTGTCTTGTAGGTCCTTGATGTACTGGGGCTGATAAGTGTACATATATTACGTTTACCATGTAGGTCCTGTATATAGAGGTTGATGTATTACGTTTACCATGAAGGTCCTGAATAGAGAGATTGATGTATTACGTTTACCACGTAGGTCCTGTATATAGAAGTTGATGTATTACGTTTACCATGAAGGTCCTGTATAAAGAGGTTGATGTATTACGTTTACCATGTATTTCCTGTATATAGAGGTTGATGTATTACGTTTACCATGTAGGTCCTGTATATAAAGGTTGCTACCAGGATGACGAAAATCGTGTCCTTCCTCACGAGCACATGCTAAACATCACAAGCATGACGACTGACATGTGTCGATTTCACTGCACCCAGTATGAATACTCCTTCTTTGGACTTGAGGTAGGTATTAAGGGCTGTATTTCAGAACTCAGGTGTACTTTGCTTTGAGCAGTATAATGATATGTTACATTACCCTTTAGGTATATGAAAATACCTTTGATTGGTTAATAACCAAGAACAACGTTTCAAGAATATCTGTATGTGACACTTTGGCACCTAAACAACCAAAGGGTGATAAATTCGTGACTCGGCCATTTGCTGACAACCTAATATGTTTCTAATGAGTGGGATTTTCTCAAAGCCTGGACAGGTCCAGGATAGCGTCCTGGCAGGGGGTCTCGGGTGGTGGTGTCTGTCTGTGTGTGTGTGTGTGTCGCGAGCGTGCGTGCGTGAGTGTGTGAAGCTCCCAAGCCCCAAAACAATTCAGCACTTTTTGGACATTTGTAGAGACCGGTGAATAGAGGTAAATAATAAATTTTAGATTTGCGTGAGCTTTTATTGTGTGGTTGTGAGAGCGTGATCTTGTATAAAAATGAGTGATTTTCACGCCAAATGCGAGACAGTGGGCAGGTGTGCAAAAAATGATAATTTGGCAGGTGGTATTGGATGGTACGTCCCGTTTGACTCCGTATCAGCCCGTCCTACCTGGCAAGTAGCCAGCTTAACTAATAACGTTATTTTGGCACATCCGTTATTGATATAGGTGGGAGGGGATTATACTTACTTACTTAGTACATAGCAAACTTTGGAATCCTATGTCCTTCTTTATGCATTTAATTTTTAACATCCGTTTCTCTTCCCGTATATTTTACTTTTATCAATTCATTTCCATATACCCATGCAAACAATCTGTGTGTTTGAAACAACTGTTCCAACTGTTTTCTCAAAAGTTTACATTGCCATATTCTTCAACCCATGTCTGCGAAAGGATGTAGTTTTGGCTATACAGAAGTAAGGTCAACTCATTCCGTATTACAGAAACTGCACCGGACTGTGCATTAGAATATGGAAACGACTAATTGGTATGTAACATATCTGCAGTAAAGGCTACATGGACATACATAGGGTTCTCAGTCAGTTTAATAGGAACTACAAACCAGAAAATACCATAATGCAATGGAAAGAAAACAAATGCCAAAATGGATTAGAAAACAAAAATGTCCAATGCCAAGAAACAGCTGCGCGAATATTGGCATGTTTTGTTTTAAAGGCGGGAACGGAATGTCACTGCGGTACCATGATCAAGAGTGGCTACAGGAAGGTGTCCGACAGCGACTGCAACTATCCCTGCGCAGGGGACAACACCAAGATGTGTGGAGGACACTGGAAGATATCCATATATCAGGTTGTTTGACGGTTCTGTCTATGTGCCTCAGAAATTGAAGGCAAGAGACGGAACTGAGGAACTTTCCGTGAAACATTTGCATAAATGTGCTTGAAGTTGACTTTGCTGATCGGTTCATTACAAGAGTTATAAACTCACGGGGGAAAGAAACGTCACCTCGATTTTTTTAACATGTCACAAAACAATAAACTCACATAATGGAAATTTAACAATCGTTTGTGGAAAATTAATGGATTTACAGCATTCTGAATGATGAAAGTGTGAACTACAGATATAAATAATTTTTTACTTTACGATAAAAGATAAAAAGAAATCATTTTAGTAGCCATGGTGTGAAACACATATGAACAACGTAACATTAATACTCATGACACACACAACCTTATAATGACCAGATACACTTCAATATAGTTTGATTTACACCCTGATATTGTTATGTGTGAAGACAAGATACGCTCACTCAATGTTCCGTGACACTGTGTTAAACCCTGATATTGTTATGTGTGAACACAAGATACCGTCACCCACTCTGCCGTGTGTTACACCCTGACATTGTTATGTGTGAACACAAGATACCGCCACCCACTGTGCAGTGTGTTACACCCTGACATTGTTATGTGTGAACACAAGATACCGTCACCCACTGTGCTGTGTGTTACACACTGACATTGATATGTGTGAACACAAGATACCGTCACCCACTGTGCCGTGTGCTACACCCTGACTCAATGTTCCGTGACACTGTGTTAAACCCTGATATTGTTATGTGTGAACACAAGATACCGTCACCCACTGTGCCGTGTGTTACACCCTGACATTGTTATGTGTGAAGACAAGATACGCTCACCCACTCTGCCGTGTGTTACACCCTGACATTGTTATGTGTGAACACAAGATACCGCCACCCACTGTGCAGTGTGTTACACCCTGACATTGTTATGTGTGAACACAAGATACCGCCACCCACTGTGCAGTGTGTTACACCCTGACATTGTTATGTGTGAACACAAGATACGCTCACCCACTGTGTCGTTTGTTACACCCTGACATTGTTATGTGTGAACACAAGATACCGCCACCCACTGTGCAGTGTGTTACACCCTGACATTGTTATGTGTGAACACAAGATACCGCCACCCACTGTGCAGTGTGTTACACCCTGACATTGTTATGTGTGAACACAAGATACCGCCACCCACTGTGCCGTGTGTTACACCCTGACATTGTTATGTGTGAACACAAGATACGCTCACCCACTGTGTCGTTTGTTACACCCTGACATTGTTATGTGTGAACACAAGATACCGCCACCCACTGTGCAGTGTGTTACACCCTGACATTGTTATGTGTGAACACAAGATACCGCCACCCACTGTGCAGTGTGTTACACCCTGACATTGTTATGTGTGAACACAAGATACCGCCACCCACTGTGCCGTGTGTTACACCCTGACGTTGTTATGTGTGAACACAAGATACCGCCACCCACTGTGCCGTGTGTTACACCCTGACGTTGTTATGTGTGAACACAAGATACCGTCACCCACTGTGCCGTGTGTTACACCCTGACATTGTTATGTGTGAACACAAGATACCGCCACCCACTGTGCAGTGTGTTACACCCTGACGTTGTTATGTGTGAACACAAGATACCGTCACCCACTGTGCCGTGTGCTACACCCTGACATTGTTATGTGTGAACACAAGATACCGCCACCCACTGTGCAGTGTGTTACACCCTGACGTTGTTATGTGTGAACACAAGATACCGCCACCCACTGTGCAGTGTGTTACACCCTGACGTTGTTATGTGTGAACACAAGATACCGCCACCCACTGTGCAGTGTGTTACACCCTGACATTGTTATGTGTGAACACAAGATACCGCCACCCACTGTGCAGTGTGTTACACCCTGACGTTGTTATGTGTGAACACAAGATACCGCCACCCACTGTGCCGTGTGTTACACCCTGACGTTGTTATGTGTGAACACAAGATACCGCCACCCACTGTGCCGTGTGTTACACCCTGACGTTGTTATGTGTGAACACAAGATACCGTCACCCACTGTGCCGTGTGTTACACCCTGACGTTGTTATGTGTGAACACAAGATACCGCAACCCACTGTGCAGTGTGTTACACCCTGACGTTGTTATGTGTGAACACAAGATACCGTCACCCACTGTGCCGTGTGCTACACCCTGACATTGTTATGTGTGAACACAAGATACCGCCACCCACTGTGCAGTGTGTTACACCCTGACGTTGTTATGTGTGAACACAAGATACCGCCACCCACTGTGCAGTGTGTTACACCCTGACGTTGTTATGTGTGAACACAAAGATACCGCCACCCACTGTGCAGTGTGTTACACCCTGACATTGTTATGTGTGAACACAAGATACCGCCACCCACTGTGCAGTGTGTTACACCCTGACGTTGTTATGTGTGAACACAAGATACCGCCACCCACTGTGCCGTGTGTTACACCCTGACGTTGTTATGTGTGAACACAAGATACCGTCACCCACTGTGCCGTGTGTTACACCCTGACATTGTTATGTGTGAACACAAGATACCGCCACCCACTGTGCAGTGTGTTACACCCTGACGTTGTTATGTGTGAACACAAGATACCGTCACCCACTGTGCCGTGTGCTACACCCTGACATTGTTATGTGTGAACACAAGATACCGCCACCCACTGTGCCGTGTGTTACACCCTGACATTGTTATGTGTGAACACAAGATACCGCCACACACTGACCCGTGTGTTACACCCTGACATTGTTATGTGTGAAGACAAGATACGCTCACCCACTGTGCCGTGTGTTACACCCTGACATTGTTATGTGTGAAGACAAGATACGTCACCCACTGTGCCGTGTGTTACACCCTGACATTGTTATGTGTGAACACAAGATACCGTCACCCACTGTGCCGTGTGTTACACCCTGCTGACATTGTTATGTGTGAACACAAGATACCGTCACCCACTGTGCCGTGTGTTACACCCTTACATTGTTCCGTGTGAAGACAAGATACGCTCTCACACTGTGTCATGTGTTACACCCTGACATTGTTCCGTGTGACGACAAGATGCGCACTCACACTGTGTCATGTGTTACACCCTGACATTGTTCCATGTGAAGACAAGATACGCACTCACACTGTGTCATGTGTTACACCCTGACATTGTTCCATGTGAAGACAAGATACGCACTCACACTGTGTCATGTGTTACACCCTGACATTGTTCCATGTGACGACAAGATACGCACTCACACTGTGTCATGTGTTACACCCTGACATTGTTCCATGTGAAGACAAGATGCGCACTCACACTGTGTCATGTGTTAAACCCTGACATTGTTCCGTGTGAAGACAAGATACGCACTCACACTGTGTCAAGTGTTACACCCTGACATTGTTCCATGTGAAGACAAGATGCTCACACCTTATATGTCCCGTGCTACATCCTGAAGCTGTCTCTCGTGAAGGATACTTCTCAACACTACTTTTAATGTAATAACACCCTATATGTCCCGTGCTACATCCTGAAGCTGTCTCTCGTGAAGGATACTTCTCAACACTACTTTTAATGTAATAACACCCTATATGTCCCGTGCTACATCCAGAAGCTGTCTCTCGTGAAGGATACTTCTCAACACTACTTTTAATGTAATAACACCCTATTTGTCCCGTGCTACATCCTGAAGCTGTCTCTCGTGAAGGATACTTCTCAACACTACTTTTAATGTAATAACACCCTATATGTCCCGTGCTACATCCTGAAGCTGTCTCTCGTGAAGGATACTTCTCAACACTACTTTTAATGTAATAACACCCTATTTGTCCCGTGCTACATCCTGAAGCTGTCTCTCGTGAAGGATACTTCTCAACACTACTTTTAATGTAATAACACCCTATATGTCCCGTGCTACATCCTGAAGCTGTCTCTCGTGAAGGATACTTCTCAACACTACTTTTAATGTAATAACACCCTATTTGTCCCGTGCTACATCCAGAAGCTGTCTCTTGTGAAGGATACTTCTCAACACTACTTTTAATGTGATAACAATTCTTTTATATCAATAGGTGTTTGTTTCCATCTTTCAGAAGTAATCTTCAATCATAAAATGTGTTTCTATTTCATCTCAAGATGAATACAAGGGTTCCTTCTTTATAAAGTTTCATTCAAAGACCATTCAGATCGTCGCTTTTCAGATCGCGGAAGTTACGGACTGGATGTTTACAGTTTATTCTAATCATGTGATATCTAAATATTCCGACCGAGGGTACATGTTTTACGACTGAAATCGAAATCAGCGTCTGTCTGTCGCTTCAAGGGGGTGGATGATCATTTGAAAGGGAGAGTGATCTTATTTAGCCCAGTTTCAGCCATCTAGTAGACATTCCTCAGTTTTCTTTTGGTTTTCTCATTTTGAAACGAGAACTTAGCTGAAATATTTTTCAACGTGTAACGGTAATGAAAGCTGAGAAGTTGAAAACAGAGCCCAAAATAATGTTCTCGTCGTTAAATGTATGAAATAAAGATGTTCATCCCCTTTCTACCTTCTTACGTTGAAATTTAGCAACAGCATAATTATAATACAATGATGAGCTCGAAGAAATACACACTTCAGCTTTTGATGTTGATATGTATTGTCTATGATAAATTGTGAAGACAATTAAACCACCGCTACTGATTTTCAGACCGCCGCCATATAGCTGGTATATTGCTCAGTGCGGCGTAAAACTCAAGTCACTCAATCACTCACTCACTCACTCCATTCTAATACATTCAAGAACACTTTGATGGGAGACATGACCATGGTTCCACATAGTATTATATCCCCATAACTAAGACAAACCAATAACATGTATAATAAAACAAGTTTCCCTAAACTTAACAAGATTTTTGTTTGGTTTGGTTGTTGTTTAACGCCGCACTCGGCAGTTTTCCAGATATATGACGGCGGTCTGTAAATAATCGAGTCAGAAAGTACAGTGATCAACCGCAAGAGCATCGATCTACGCAATAGGAATACGATGACATGTGTCAGCCCAGTCAGCGAGCCTGACCATCCGATCCCGTTAGTCACCTCTTACGACAGGCATGGGTTCATGAAGACAAAATCTAATCCGCATCTTCACGAGGAACACAAGAATGGGTTGCTGAAGATCAATTCTAACCCGGATCTTCCCAGGGAAGACAGGAATGGGTTGCTGAAGATTAATTGTAACCCGGATCTTCACGAAAAAGACAAGAATGGGTTGTTGAAGATCAATTCTATCCCGGATCTTCCCGGGGGAGACAAGAATGGGTTGCTGAAGATCAATTGTAACCCGGATCTTCACGAGAAAGACAAGAATGGGTAGATGACGATCAATTCTAACCCGGGTCTTCCCGGGGGAGACAAGAATGGGTTACTGTTCTAAACGTTACACCAACAGACATGTTTAAATATACTGAGGGAAACAAATTAGGGAACACCACTTCATGGCAGTGTTCCTGTATTTATTCAATGATTTCCTCCCACAGCGCTATTCATAGCTGGTGATGAAAACTGGAACATATACTCTCCCCAAAAAGAAACGCATATGGGAATTTCAACTGTATTTTTGTGTTTATTTTAAAACATCTTGTAGGCTACATGAGTCAATGAAATATAGCGAAATTGCACACTGGGAATGCAGACTTATCCGTCTTTGG